AGACGTTGGAGAGGGCAGTCGCCACGGCCACGACAACGTTGCGCAAGGTATGATGAACATCGGTCAACCCTGGGCAACCGCCTTCAGCCCTTACGTCATCCCGATGGCCGGTACGATGGGGCGAACGATGGTGATACCTGGAATCAGAGACTCGGGCTTCCCCTCGTGTCTTTTAATAATGAACCACGGTATGGCGTCTGCAGATAGTGAGGCACGGAAAATGGCCCTCTTTACGAATCAGCAAGGCGTCTGGAACTACGAGTCCGGTACGTGGGACGTGGCACCGGGGCGCACGTGGGACGGAAAGTCTTGGGTAGCGTCGAAGGGCAACAAGAATGCAACAGTCGGGAAGCAAGCGATAGGAGCGAGGGGGACGACACCGGCGTGATCGTGGCTCTATCGGCGATGAGTCAGACGTCAAGCCAGTGAAGAAGAAGCTGAAAGCGACGGTGCGGCAAATGAAGGGGAAAGACGAAAAGGCGGAGCCAGTGCCACCGTGGAGTAATGGGCCGCCAGTGTGCTTTAGGCGCGGCAAACCTGAATACATCCGGTCGAGATGCCCCTATCCACCGAAGTTCTTCGCATGTAACAAACCTGGGCGCTTCGCGCGCGAATCTCCGGACGTCGAAGCGATGGCTCGTAGCGATGTACACATAATGCGGCGCACAGAAGCGGGGGCGAATGCGGAAAACAAGGTGCGAGCGGTGTAAGGGAACCACAGCGACTGACACCAATTCCAGATTTTCAGCCGCCGGTGCAGGCCAAGGGCGAAGACGACGCCGTTGGTAGCAGAGCTGGTAGCGAAGTGGTAGCGCGTGAAGCGAGCGAGTTGTTGCCTGAAAACGAAGAGGAGAGTGAGAGCGACGACCGCGTCGTAGACGTGGACGCGGTGGTAAAGAAGATGAGGGAAGACGGGCGAGAGAGAGACAAGGAGCGATCCAAACGCTGGCACATCACGGTGCAGCCAACATTAGCGGAGCCCGGTACGTGCGTGTGCGGCGCAGGATGCGCATGAGGACAGACGTGGTGACGGCAGCTTTGAAGGTCGAACATGTGAAGGCGCCGGAGCAGGTGCGGTAGAGGGCCAGGAGAAGGCGAGGGGCGAGGAATGCAGCGTGGCGTGGATTTTTCAGGCACAGCAGAAGGCGCGGAAGGCGGTCAAGTGGGAACAGGTGAAGAGAGCGAACGAACGCTGAAAGCTGCGCAAGCAGAAGGCGGTGGTGAAGCGACGGCGCGCTGATAACGAACGACGGGACCACCGGTGAGCGGAGCGAGAGCAAGCGCCGCAGGAGCTCGAACAACGACGGGTGGCGGCAAGACGACGGAAGGCCACGGCGGCAGTGCAGAGAGTGAGAGTGACGATCAACAGAATCCAGTGTCCTCAGATTGGTGGTGGTAGGCACACGAACGACGATGGTCGGAGCAGGAGCGGGGCGCGATTATCCCATACGCGGTAACGTGGGGCTGCAGGCGGAACAGCTAATGACGAACATGATGCACATTCCACTTCGTGAGGATGCGGGGGACCAGTTGGAGCAGCGTCAGCCACCGACGTTGCAGCTGATGGATGAGTCAATCATCGCTGCTCAGTTGCGCAGTCGGTTGGTGCAGCGCATCGTGAAGGCTCGTGCGTATCGGAAGATGCCTTGTTGAGGTGCGGCACAATTTGGTGGCAATCAAGACGCCTTGTTGAGGTGCGGCACAATTTGGTGGCAATCAAGACGCCAGATGAACGGCGGGTGGTGCCACCACCAAAGCTCTGGCCGGTGGCCTTTAAGGTGCACCATTATTCGGTATAAGCAGGGAACCTTAGGGCGCCACACACATACGAAAGTATAGTGGTGGCCAGACATGTAGCGTGATGAAGCGTTGGGTATGCGTTTGACAGGAGTGCTGTAGCCGTATGGCTAAGCCACGTGAGGTGATCAGAGGGGCGGGGGGGGGCAGAGGGTGATCGATGGGCGTTAGATGTGGCCGTTCCATTACCTGTGACCGGTGGTGGACAGCGATGCTTCATTGCAGCGGTGGAGTACGCAACCCTGTACGCGGGTGCGAGAACGGTTGAACGGCACACGGCCAGAAAACGTGACCAGATGTGATGGAAGAAGTGGTGTTGAGTTTGGCGTGTTTCGGGAGTTTTTGACGAGCGGAGCCCCTGACTTGACTGAATTGGTGAATGAGAAGCTGGTAGTGATGCTGCAAGCCGAGCCGATCAAAGTACGAGATACGGTCGGATCTACCGTGCGTTCTTGGTACATTGGCGTGGATATGACGAAAAACTAGCTGGGTAGACGAGGCCGATCTAAACTGTGGAGCTATGTTGTACGGTTTTCTTACGGGGCTGCACCAGTCGAAACAGGTTCGGTGTGATGCAGTCTCACGAGGAGTAACCTGAAGGGAGCTACCGACGCGGTTAGGACGCGTTGGGTAGGTGTGTGGAAGGATCTACAAAGCGTTTGTAGATCGAAGGGTGGGCGATGATGTTATGCATACGTATATACATGACGTGCACGAAAATAACAAGCAGAGATGCGAGATCTGAGGAGGAGGAGGACGCGGGTCCGGAACAAGTGCCCAGATCTCAGAGTCGTGTACAGCACCGGGCTTAAATCCAAGATCGACATGTGTAGAAGATGTCGGACTGAACGATTTAAGAGAGCGAAAATTTCAGATCGGAATTTGTTTTAGTCAATTGGGGGGAAGAACATGGCTTACGAAGACTGAATTCGCGGAATAGATGGCCATTGGAGTCTCGTAGCTGACCCTGCCGATCTAACGTCTGCTGGGGGCGCTGCTCCAGAAAGCGCAGCTCTAGCGCTTGATCTGCGAAACATCTCCGCTGTTCCCAGCTTTGGATCGCCAGCGCGTGGCCGTGGATCTGCTACCGGAGATCACGAATTTGGGTACCGTTGGTGGAGTCCCTGTTGGCGACGACCGTTAATTGAGGTCAGCATCCGTTCTTGGGAAGTGGGATACCGCTCGGATGTCACAGTCGGCAGCTTGATTGTCAGGCTAGTAGCCTGGTTGATGAGCGCCAGGACAAAGAAACGGAGATCCTCCACCGAAGTCGGCGGAGTCGAGGGAGACTTGGGGGAAGGCGCGGCTACGGGCGATTTCCCGTGCCCCTGGTCGGCGCGTTTTGATGGTACCATGTCACTTGTGCTTGGAGACTCTAATGGGAAAATGAGCACGTTGTTGGGTGTGCGCAGTGACACCGTTGGGCGGCTGTGGTGAAGTTCTTTTCAAGAAATTAGAAGACTCCCGGACACTGTTCGGGATTAGTGGTATTGTGGTTCCAAACACGACGATCTGGATCCAGCAATCACGAATCGGAACGGAAGTCGTAACAGCTTAGACGGAGGGGGGGGGGGCGACAATGCCAACAAGGAACCAAATGAAGGTTGTAAGATCTAATATCTCGTATCGTGAGATACTGGATCCGAAGGAGAAAGCGGAGGATTGCGAGCTGGGCCCAAGATCTAAGGTCGTCAGGATCCAGGTGTACAACATAATTCATGGGTACACCATGGGTCATGATCCAGAGATATATCTGATCGGGGGTATTCCTGGTTGGAGGCAAATCGGTGATCGGTCACGATACAGCGATTGCGCCACAGCGCTTGGCCGATACAGCTTGGTAGACGGAGCAAGGACAGATAGGATACATATATAGGCTTGTGTAGGCTTAACTTTAAACCAGAACTCTATTTACTTCGTGTTACGCACGTGCCTTCCTGCCCTTAAGAATCGGAACGACATTGGCCGTGCGAGCTCGATGAAGGTTGGGAATTGCAGATCGAGCGTTGGTAGTGATCACTGGATAATACATTGGCCAGATCCTACCTCCTAGTGAGCCTTCCTCATACACGTGCATATCCGTTAGGTTAGCAAGATTACTACTTAGCCAGGTATACCTAAGAGTCTCTCAACTCTCAAGATCCCGCTATACGAAGCGGCTAGTACGACGAAAAGAAAATCAAAGGGAAGGAAGCACACCCGCAAGGTATTCCTACAATCAGATCGCAGATCAAGACCGCCAGTTCGCACAAGATCGAAGGAGTCGCTTGTGATCTGGACCCTACATCGGACGCAGAGTGAAAATCTACCACCCCTACCCCATCCCATCCCCGCGTTTCGCCAAGACGCTCAAGCTTCCCACTTGGACTTCTCCGTAGCTACCAGAGAAGCTAGACTACACCCTGCCGACGGGTACCCAAGGTGAGAAAAGCTCGGCAGATCACGAATCATCGGGGGACCCCCTTCGCTAGTCGGTATTTGGGTACTGGTGGGAAGTCGTTTTAGCAATCA